GTCCCCAACCCCCGGGCCGCGGACCGGTACCGGTCCGTGGATCAAATGGTACCGGGCCGCCCAAGGAACATTAAATTATTTCCATTTTATTTACTATGGTGTATTTGTCTCGGGTTTGTGCGACTTTTAACAGACGACGGAACAACGGAATAAACTGGACATAAGAAACACACTTCGAGTGTCATTGTCTTCTATTATCCCCAGATGGAACTGTCTCGTTGCAAAGAAACAAGCTCAGGGTTCTCATTGATTTAGCGTTCTAGTGAGTTAAAATGTTAAATCACATTATATTCATTTTTTGGTGTAACTGTATTTTATTTTGAAGGCATGTTTAAATACAGTTAAATTAAAATTATTAAATTAAATCAATCTAAAATATGAACAATCAACGTCCCCTCTCAGCGGGCCGCGGTAAAGTTATCAAACGTTGACCGGTCCGCGGCGATAAAAAGGTTGGGAACCGCTGTTATAGAGGACAATAGTTTATGTTTAAAATGTCAAATTAAATGTTAATCGAAAATACAAACAGCAATTTATTATTAATCAATCTATAATACAATTAAAAAACATTAATTTATGTCAAAGAAATTTCAAATAAAACAAAATCAGAATTATCAGATTATCTAGGAATAACAAGCTTTCCAATTCAGTTTAAAAATTTTTGCAGATCTTTATAGTCCTGAAAAATGAGAAACAATATTATGAGTTTTATTATTAACTTTAAATTAATATATACAGTATCTTTCTCTAAATAAAAGTAATATTTGCCTTTTTTTTTTGCATTATTATTATCCTAAGCTGCATCTGATTATGCTTATTCAAAAAATTATTATAATTGGATTGACTAATGTTATCAAATTCACAGTCATCATACCCTACATCTCTACTTCCAAAACTTATTCAGTTTATGCAATTAAACAAGCCATTGATTTGGATTAGTGTTAATTTGATTATGAGTCACTGAGTAAATATCAGAATAAAAATATCTTATGTATTACTTTAATATTATAATACTAGAATATTAATCTTACAATAATTACCGAAAAAAATCTAGCAAAGAGTTGAATAATGTTCCCAGCAAGAGTTAAAAACTTTATGTAGCACCATCTGTTATAAGTTTAATAAAATCTCATATTTATTATTATAAAATGGCAAAAAGTGTAATTTTAATGAGTTTTATAAAAAAAAAATTATAAATGTTAACAGCAAGTAAAATCTTTATTAAGTCTGACCTCATTCAAGATGTGAGACATGACTCCCTCTATCTCCCCACCCATTGACCTTTAACCACCAAAATTTAATAGCAACAATCTGCCCTAATAACAAACCTCCCTGCAAAATTTCAGAAATTTTTGACAAAAGGCACAGGAGTTATTAAGCTTCAAAGTGGATGAACAAAATCATGCCCCCAATATGCACTAACATCCATATACAGTAGACCCCCCTATAAAACCGATTATAATTACAATTCCTATAAAACCGCAAAAAAATTGTGACGGTATCTGTAAAAAAAGGTAAAAAAACTCCTATAATTACGTGGAACGTCATCGGGCAGCCGAACTATTTTCCACCATCAAGTGCCACGCTACGGACAGTTTGCTATCGTCTGTACAGTATTATATATAAATTATATATAAATTAGGTACTGTACATATAATTATATATAAATTAGGTACTGTATATATACAGTAGAGCGTCGATTTTCCGAAAGTCAATCATCCGAAACGTCAATCATCCGAAAGAATTCCAGTCGGCAAATTTAAATTTTCGCCAGTGCTGCGGCGCTTCAATCTTTGGCTATGTCTTGGGCTATTCAAATATTTTACGTTTTTGATACTAAATTAACATCTGAAGTATAATTTTTTATTATTTTTATATTTTTCAATATATTTATTTTCTTTGTACAAAATAAAAAAATAATTTTTAACGATACAATAGTCTTTGTTAGGCTTAACATCGATGAAAATTCGACGCAAAGCGACACGCAATGGAGAAAAATTTCGACATTGGATATGTTAAACTATTTTTTCGTACGTAAATCAGTTATCCGAAATATCAGTTATCCGGACAACCCCAGTCTCCAATTGATTCGGAAAAATCGACGCTCTACTGTAATTATATATTAACTTAATTTATTGTAACTTTATTATAATTATATATTTTTTTTCCGCCGCATAGTGCCACGCTACGGAGATTTTACGCTAACTACCGTCTGTACAGTATGTAAATTAGGTACCGTAAATCTAATACAGTACTGTAATTTTATACATTTCTTGTGAAAGAAACATTTCTTATTCAACGGCGATTAAAATTATTTATATTAATGATGTCTCCATAGTTCAACGAAGTTTTTGCAGAAAAATAAGTTATTAGAAATCAGCCGCTGTTTGCTGAGCTGTTCTGTGATGAAAACAAGCTTGAACAATGGCGATGTCGAATGGTGCACACTCGGTAAGTAATCCTACAATTTTTTGTTTATAGCGTAGTTTATACGGATTATTTCCAAAAAAAAATATATGTATTTTGGAAATGTTGAGTAGAATTAGTCTAGAATCGATTAATTTTATGGAAGAAAGCCTTTCAAACAGCAAAATCCGTAAACTTGACGTGTGTCGGGCTGTGATTGGAAGGACTCATAAGAAATCAGATTCCTAAAGAATGGAATGTATCTATGATCTTATGGGGGGGTCGACTGTATATAGAGAAAAAACCCCAACCATTTTTTTTTATGTACTTCTCAACTTTTCAAGACCTTGAGTCCAAAAATGTGAAAATCTTGGAGAGGAGTCATTTTTTGACCAATCACCCTACTTTCCCTCTATTATCAATATATATAACAGCTGGGAAAGTAATAGTCTCAAAACATCCAAAAATAAAAGAAAAATGCCAAACTAGAGAAAATGAATATAGAATAAGTAAAAGCATGAATAACTGCATAGATAACTATTTTCCTCCAATTGGACCTTTGTTACTCTGTTTCTAACAATGTAATTATCAAAAGAAATGTCTGGTTAAATAGAGGAAAGTATGGAATTAAGCTATTAAGAAACCTAGAGTTATCATCTGTGCATTTAGGTGGTTTTTCTTAATTCAGTTACTATTACAGGATTATAGTCAGCCATACAATTATTCAAGGATTAAAGAAAAGAAATTTTTATCAATTTCTAAAAGTGTAGTGAATATTTCTAATTGATCAAAACTACCTGGCACAAATCATTTTTAATAGATATACAGTAGAGCATCGTTTATCCGAATCAATTGAGGACTGAGGTTGTTCAGATAAGTTATTTTTCAGATAACTGATTATGTACGAAAAAATATATTAACCTAACCCATATTGAAATTTTTTTCCATTGCATGTCGCTTTGCGTTGAATTTTCATCGATGTTAAGCCTAACGAAAACTTTTTAAATAATAATCATGGCTATTGTATCATTAAAAATTATTTCTTTATTTTGTACAAACAAAATAAATATATTGAAAAATATAAAAACAAAAAAAATGATACTTTTAGAAGTTAATCTAGTATCAAAAACGTTCAATTCAGCACAACACAGTCCTCAGAAAAACACCACACAAATGTGCCAGTGCTACCAGCTAAAACACACACATCAACAAAAAAAAATATTGGAGTAGCCCAAAATATAGCCAAAGATTGCAGCGCCACAGCACTAGCAAAAATTTAAATTTGCCAACTGGAATTCTTTCGGATAAACGACACTCTACTGTATTCTAAAAATTAGTAGTGGATTGTTTTATTGGTTTTAATAAGATTAGTAAAATTTGAGAAATGATTTTAACATATGCTTAAAACTAGTTTTATTATAATTTTATCTAAAAATTTCATCTTACATAGTTAAAGCTAAAAAATTGCTGGATTAAATCAGGCTACATTACTGCTACTATTAATAATTAATACAGAATAATTTGGCACTACATAATAATTATTAATAGCAGCAGAAATGTAGCTCAATTTAATCTAGTAATCATTTGGCTTTAACTTTCATCTTACAAGAAACATTTTCTTGTAGCCAACTGCTGGAATCTAGAATTTTATTGTTCTTAATTTGAAGCTTCTATTGGAATTGCAGAGATGCCAACCTGAGAAGAGGGCCATCAGTACAGGATCCTATATTATGATTAGAGCAGGGGGTAAATGGAGGAGCAATGCCCCCATCTACTCCCATTTCTGATATGATATATTCATTCCAATTTTAAGATATTCATAAACTATTCTAATTTTGTTCTAAAATAAGTTCTAATGTTTTCAAATCATCTGAAACAAATTATATACTTATAATAATAAACTTTCTACAAACCTATAACCAGCATGAAATATGTTCAATTGCTTAGGCTAACGTTTTCGGATCCCACTAGCTCCTTCATCAGGCTATGTTCCATTTGTAATGATCCATTAGAATGTCAGCTGTTTTTGGAACAAAATTTCAAAGATCATATTTTGATTTCCATTAGGAATAACATGCCTTTCAACTCGAAACTCCGGTTGCTACGTAACGATCTTCTACTTGTATGTCAGATTATGTACTTTGATGCCGTTTTAATTTGAATCTCCTTTCTGTATTAGGGCTTGCCATGACAACGATAACGTGATTTCATCTTTGGAATTAATGGGGGTTGATGAGTTGCAGGCTTTGCATATTTCTATTTGTTCTAACCATCTGAGTTGGTCCAAATATGACGTTGTGATAAGGAGTTTGGCCCTCGCGAAGTCTGCAGATATCTCTGGATCCGATGCATATACAGATAAAGCGGTGGTACATCTGTTGCGTATAATGTTCTTTTGGTGTTCCTTCCATCTTACCCCAACTGCCCTTTTCGTGTATACTAATGTAAGAATCTAGTGGGATCCGAAAACGTTAGCTTAAGCAATTGAACATATTTCATGCTGGTTATAGGTTTGTAGAAAGTTTATTATTATATTCTTCCAGTGTGTGTCGATTATTTATTTATATACTTATAATGTTACTGAGGGCTTGCAATGGATAATTGACATGGAAGTCCATATAATCTTTTCATTTATGCTTTTGCTGGAAAGATCCACAACAGTGTATACTGAGATGTTCACTAACAATGTTAAACTTGTTTAAAAATTTTGACATGATTCACTAATTCCCCGTGCTACAGCTATTTTTTTTTTGTTTTGTGATGGAAAAATGTATCATGATGATTTTAAGCTAAGGTAAAGGCACTAATAATTGACACATTAAGAAAAATATATTCTATTTCTTCTAATACAGTAATACCCCGAACTTACGCGATAGGTGGGACCGAGCGATAACCGCGTAAGTTGAATTCATGTAAGTCAGGGTATAATTTCACAATTTGTGTAAAATCCAAGTCAGATGTATGTAAGCTAATAAATGTTCTCGTTAATCTTATCTCGTCTTTTGATTTGTTCACAGTTACAAGAAATCACCACATAGAGTCTCTCAAGTCTCCGCAAATATAACAAACACAGAAATAAAGAAAACAAAATAAATTGTAGCTATGTGTCGATTCCGTGCTACATGTCCGAACATGTAAGCTGAACAATAGTGTGGAGAGAGTGAGTAATCAAAAGTTGCATGGCGCTCAAACAAAAGACGAATCGACGAGATTTGAAAATCGTGTGACTCCGGGTTCGCGTAAGTCGGGGTAGTGTAAGTCGAGATATTACTGTAACTTAAATATTTATTCTGAAACAAAAATAATTTCAAGTGTAATTGTTACACAAACTTTCTGTAATTAACTTAAAATTATTTTTTTAAAAATACATAGTAATTAAAAAAATTTTTTTAATTCTTGAGTCTTTGCACTATTGGCACAGCCTAAAACAAAAATCACTATAAGTTGACATATTATTGTAATATCAATACTTTACGTTTAATCATCATCATCAATTAATGTAGATAATTGTTACAATTATTTTTTGACACTGGAAATACATTTATTAGTTATGAATAAGTTATTCTAATATCAAATTCACTTTGTTTAAAAACAGCATTTTTGTCATCACAGCAATTCATTGCCATAACTTTAAAATTGTCTTTTGTGTCTTCTAAATAATACATACATTTTTGTAGAGATTGTAGGCAGCGGTCGTTCGGCGCTACAATCCTTTGTCTAGTCGAATAGTTGATTAGTAGAGCTCTTGTCGTACACACCTGAACTGTCTCGTGGCAGGTCGAAAAAGGCGGGAATCTGTCAAAGTGCTGACGTCATCCTGTCGAGGCTCTCTGATGGTGACTGTAGGCATTAGCGCCTCAGTACTCCCCTGCGAGTGTTAACGATACTTCAGGTTAAAGTGTACCTGTCGTCCAGAGCGAGTTGTGACCGGTGGTTGGGTTGCCTCGACACCTGTTGGTGTTGGGGGTTCCTTTTCTGTGCCGGTTGGGATGGAAGTTGTAGGGTTGGCGACAAAAGCTGGTTTGAGGCGGTCAATGGTAACTGTCACCTCCTTGCCATTGATGTTAATCCTGAATGTTTTGTCGGAGCGCTGGAGTACTTGGAACGGGCCATCGTATGGGGGCTGTAGAGGTTTACGTATGGCATCGTAACGTACAAAAACGTGGGAGCAGGTCTGTAGATCGCGGAACACAAACGTCTGGTGGTTGCCATGCTTGCGCGGTGAGACGGGACGTAGTCATCGCATCCTGCCCCGGAGATCGGAGACAAAATCAGAAGTGTCTACCGTGTTGTCGTTGTTGTTTACAAAAAATCTCCAGGCAGGCGCAGCATTTGTCCGTAGACCAGCTCGGCTGTTGTGGCGTTGATGTCGTCTTTGTAGACGGTCCGGACTCCCAAGAGTACGATGGGTAGGTCATCTGTCCAGCAGTCAGAAGAGTGGCACTTGATTGCTGCCTTAAGTTGCCAGTGGAATCGCTTGATTATTCCGTTGGCGGCTCGGTGAAAGGCAGTGGTGTGGATCCTCGACGTACCTGTCAGCGCTGTGAGTGCTTTGAACAGGGCCGTGTTCAGTAACGCAGAACACCTAAGTTAGAATTCTGAGGGCTTAGTGGGCGGAGCTAAGAATACATAAAAGAAGCTAGTGGTGGGAGGAGTCAAGCAGTAGTTAGAAACGAATTCATCATTGCAGCATAACTAGACTTAGCAAGAATTCTGCGTTGCTGAACACGGCCCTGGTGGGACTTAAATTGTCGTCCCTGGTCGGTCGTCAGCCGCTGTGGAACACCGAAACGAGCGATCCAGCCATCAAAAAATGTTTTGGCTACGGCGGCAGCTGTGATCTCTGACATGGGAAATGCTTCCGGCCAACAGGAGAAATGGTTGATTGCCGTGAGGCAATATGTGAAGCTGTTGGATGGCGGAAGTGGTCCAACGATGTCAATGTGGACATGGTCGAATCGCTGATTTGGCAAGGCGAATGATCCAGTTGGTGAGATGGTGTGCCGGGTGATCTTGTTCTTCTGGCACGCAATACAGCTACGTACGAACTTTTTGCAGTCACGCTCGATGTCGGGCCACACGAAGGACTTTTTAATGAGGCGACATGTGGCTCTCACCCCGGGGTGTGACAACCCATGCAGGTGTGACAACCCATGCAGTGAGGTGATCGCCTGCTGTCGGAAGTCTTTGGTAACGAAAGGACGAGCGTTGAGCGTGGATGTGTCACAGTAGAGTTGTGCTGTGGTGTTCGGGATGGTGATTCGTTTAAGCTGGAGACCTGTATTGGAACAGAAGAGCTGTTCAAGTTCGTTGTCGGACTCTTGGGCGGAGGCGAGTGCCCAGAAGTCGATCGCCTGTGTGATGGGCTCTATTCGAGACAAGACATCTGCAGGGATGTTGTTTGTACCCTCGACGTGACGGATGTCCGTGGTGAATTGTGATATGAAGTCTAAATAGCAAAACTGTCAGGGTGATGCCCTTTCGGGTTTCTGCCTCAGGACAAAGGTCAGCAGTTTGTGATCGGTGAATAGGGTGAACTGCCTTCCCTCGAGCATTGTTTAAATTTCCTGATGGCAGAGTAGGCGGCGTACAACTCCCGGTCGTATGCAGACCACTTTTTTTGTGATTCAGATAGTTTCTGGCTGAAAAATGCTAATGGTTGCCAGTGTCCGTCGATCCTCTGCTGTAGGAATGCCCCTACAGCGGTGGATGATGCATCAACCATTAGGGAGAGATGTGTGTTTTGTGATGGGTGGGCTAGGAGTGCAGCACTGGCAATGGCGTTCTTTACGTTGTGGAAAGCACTGTCGGCATCGGAGGTCCACTCGAGGTGATCTTTCGGACTCGGGTTGCCCTGAAGCAGTTTGTTGAGTTCTGAAGTGATGAGAGCTGCGTTGCGTATGAAGCGGCGATAGAAATTGACTAGTCCCAGGAATCGGCGTAGATCGTGGACAGTAGTTGGTCTAGAGAACTCGATAATTGCCTCGACTTTTTGTGGAAGTGGGCGGATTCCTTTTGGGTTGACCAGATACCCGAGGAATTGTACTTCTTGCTTTTCGAATACGCATTTTGATGCGTTGATTACAACACCGTAGTCACAAAGTCTGGTAAATAACTTGCGTAGGTGCTGCAGATGTTCAGTTTTGTTTCGGGACGCTATAAGTATGTCATCAATGAAGACGTAGCAAAATTTGAGGTCACAAGTAACTTCGTCCATGAAGCGCTGGAATGTTTGGGCGTCGTTGCACAAACCAAAAGACATGAAGTTGAACTCGTATAGTCCAAACGGTGTGTGGTGACGGCCATCTTAGGGATATCCTCTGGAACTATAGGGATGTGATGGAAAGCACGGACAAGGTCGACGGTTGAGAAGTACCCACAACCGTGAAGAGTGGATGCGAAATCCTCTATGTGAGGAACAGGATAACGGTCGGGTACAGTTCATGCGTTGAGTAGACGGTAGTCACTCAACGCAGGGTCGCCACTGGTCGTTCTTCTTTGAAACGAGGTGTAATGGCAATGACCAGCTGCTGGTGGACGGTCGGCAGATCCCTTGAGCGAGCATGAATTCAAACTCTCGCTTAGCCAGAATGTATTTGTCCGGCGCAAGTCACCGGGGTTTACAGTGCACTGGTTGTCCAGGCGTCGTGATAATATGATGGACGGTGGAGTGTCGGACGGGTGCAATGGTTGGAGATGGACGCGTTATCTCAGGAAACTCGCTCAATAGTCGGTGATAAGAAGAATTGCCGGCAATAGTTTGTACTGACAGTGTAGTGACACTGAGATATGTCCTTGGCTGACCAGTTTCGTTGTCGAGTCGATGAGACGTTTTCTGCAAGGTCTGGGAGAAGTCCATAATGAGATAAAAAAATCAGCACCAATCAATGGTTGTGTGACGTCGGCTACAATGAATTGCCATGTAAAGTTTCGTCGAAGAGAGAAGTCTGGCGTGATTGTTGCGTAGCCGTATGTCTTGATTGCTGTGCTGTTCACTGCGAAGAGTTGATAGTCTTCTACACAGCGTTTTGGAAGGCTTGAAGCTGGATAAACGGAGACATCGGTGCCAGTGTCAATTAAGAATGAAACTTTGGACGTACAATCCGTGATGAATAAGTATCTTCTGTATATCTGTGGGAAAACAGGACAACCAAATACTTCTGAGTAGGTCCTCTGTAACCATATGACCTGTGAGAGTTCTTAAGCTTCGAAGGAATTGCGATGGCATGCGGTCGCCAAGCTCTTCAGTACGTAGAAGCTTTTCAAGACGTTGGGCTTCGGACTGGGACATGCGGTCGATCAGTGCCCATTTAATTGCTTTGTACTTGTCGGTATTCGGAGGAGTGGCCAAAATGTCCTGAACTTCAGTAGCTATACATTCCGATAAACTCGCGACTACGTGGCTATATTTCGTTTTGTCATGGGATATATTGGCGAGGACGAATTGGCTCTCCAACTGGGCGAACCAAAGTGCTGGGTTCTCAGACCAAAATGGCAGCAGCTTGACGGCCACAGGTTCGCTCATTTTGTCACGTACCTGGTAAAATATTTCTGTTCTCCAAGCGAAATTCATGAATTCGATAAGTTCTAATGTTCGGCTCAACCAATGTAGTCAACGGTCGTTCGGCGCTACAATCCTTTGTCTAGTCGAATAGTCGAGTAGTAGAGCTCTTGTCGTACACACCTGAACTGTCTCGTGGCAGGTCGAAAAAACGCAGGAATCTGTTGAAGTGCTGACGTCATCCTGTCGAGGCCCTCTGATGGTGACTGTAGGCGTTAGCACCTCAAGATTTTTCCCCCAAGAACATATCTTGGAAATGTCAACCATTGGTGCACTGTCAAGTTTTGATGCCTTTACATTAAGTACTTTATATAAACAAAAACAAAATCCGCTTTATTGTAAAGTCCTTAAAATTTTGAATATTTATTAATAAATTGTTTGTTGCGGTCGCAAACTACTTCGCAAAAAGATGTAAAGGGACCAGGACAATCGTGTAGGAGGACAAGAAAAGACAAAAGAAGAAACACTTTCGGACTAGAGGTCCCAGCGTCCAGACGGAAGAAGCTATGCTCCATACTTTCTATCTTGTATCAAAAAATTATTTATTTTGGAGTTAGTGTTATAAATAAATGTTATGTTTTTTATAGTTTATACCAAATTATTTCTGAACACCGGCAACATGTTTTATAATAGATTTTTAAAATAAATTTAAATGTATATTTCTTATTCGATAAAATAAAATTTCTATTATTGACAGAATCTACAATTTTATCTACATCATTTGTGCACTATACAGTGTTTCTGCTTGGACTTTTCCAGCATGTCCAACTATTATGTTAGAAGAGCATGTATAATTTTACACACAAGCATGTAATTTTTTAGTACAACCATGCAAATAGGTCATGCAGAGGAACAATTTTTAGTCAGATCCTTAGTAACAATAGTTAGCCACTTCCAAACTGGAAACTCACTGTCTGTACATTCAACATTATTGGTATGAATGTACAGATTGGTTTGAGTTTGGCATATTGGCAATTCTATGCAGACAAAATGCTAACTAACATCTACACATGTTGCATTAGCATGCTTATTCAAGAGTATTCCATTCCATAGATTCCATACTTTTTAAATGATTATCCATAAGACCATAATTTACATGACATAAACTATAGAAAATCTTTAATAGTTTACATCTCTGGAATTGTCATCATAAATAAATTTTCATAATGTGTTTACAATGATTCCAGAAACTTGAAATGTCTTCAAGCATGCAAAATCATCTTATATTTTCTGTGCAAATAGCTTTTATTATGTAAAATAAAATTTTAACTAACAGAAAGGAAAAAATAAATCATTTTCTTTTTATCTAATAACATTACAAAGTAAAAATTAAATAAATAGTTATCTTAAATTAATGTTTTTTTATTCAATATCATTTTTCAATATCAAAACCATAATATACAAAATAAAATTAATTTACCTGTATCATCCTGAGTTACTCTAGTATAATTTCCATTTTCCATATGCTTTATTAAACCTTTTGAGATTAATTCTGTTAAATGAAGGTACACTATTTCTTCAGATGACTGGCTTGTTCTGAAAATAAATGTTTACACATTTTTTCAATTGTTCATTAATGAAAATAAAATTGATTATTATTAGGTTAACATAAATAAATATAAAATTGCATATGTCTCTTCAAATTGTAAATAAAAAAAAGAGCCTTATGATTAGGATATTCAACTTTTAATAAAACAGGTTTTGGTTCATAGCATGAAAAATTTATATAAGTAAAACAGCCATATATTAAAGCTAAAGCAGAAATGTGAAACTGAGGCCCACTTCCTAGACCTCCATATTCAATTCAAAAACAGCCATGTACTTACTAATGTATATCATAAACCTAATCAACACCCTCTTTTTATACCTTCAACATCTAATGATCCTTGTATTTATATGGTAGCTGCATTTAGGGCACTAATAAAAAGAGCATATATGCATTGCTCTAATATCAAAGACACTATGCAAGAATTAGAATGTATAAAACATATAGCACTGGAGAATGGTTATTACAGTGGTAAACTAATACCTACATTAGCATGTACCATAGAAAAGAACTTTAAAAAGATATTAGCTAGGAACGTAGGAGCACAACTACAAACAAAAATTCAAAATCGTAAATGCATAGTAGTTGACTACAATCCCAGATTGAGTACAATTTATAAGATCATAATGAAACAATTAAATACTAGTTTAGCCTATAAATGCAACACAACAACACTACTACAAACTACTCAACAATAGTAAGGATAAGATTGAAGATAGCAAAACTCCTGGAGTATGTTCCATACCATTGTATGACAATAGATGCAATAGAAATCTAACACATATAGGTCCAACAAACAGATCCTTGAGGTAAAGACTCAAAAAGCATCAATACAATCTTAGGAAATACAAATACAATTCTAGCACAATATGCAAGCAAGCAAAGGGTGTCGCCACAATGGACAGAAGTAAAACTTTTAAAATGCACATTTGATAACCATAAACTAAGAACCATGGAGGTGTTTGAAATATTTGCTGCAACACTTAAAGGATCAGATACAAATTACATGCAACATGCATATTAGCAGTAAAGAATCTATATCCATATCCAAGACATGGCAATCTATATTAGATAACCCCCTTAAAAAATAGCAGTAGCCAATAATATATAGAATAATAGCAATTTAATTCAGTTTTTCAATTAGAGGCATTTTAATATTTTTATTCATAATTATTCATTTAATTTGTCAAAACTATATTAATCTTTACATAAATATAGTATATTTTAATTCAAACACAACTATGTCAAAGAAAAAAACATTATAATTCCAAATTTTGAACCTACTATAGAGGTTTGATACAGAATTTTGCTTAACCTGACACAGTCCACTGAAGATAGATGAAAACATTCGTTTTTAATCAGTAAATGCTGGAAAGTGAGAGGAAGGTGTGAATTTTAGTTGCCATCAGTCATGGACATAGATGAGTATCCAGCTCCTTCATGGCTGACACTTGTGAAATCTTTCTTAAACTTTTGTATTCATTCAAACACACTTCCTCACAACAAAACACTTTCTCCAAACTGTGCACAAAGTCTTTGATAAATATCGATACCAGACATACCCTCAGACCATAAAAAATGAATCACTGCATGCTGCTCTCTTTTGTGCAGTTGAGCAGCCATTGTTTCTTATAATCAAATGAACCTCCTTGTAAACACTGGAGGAAATACAATTCATCACATCCAAAAAACCTTTGTAACTCCAGTGATGTGTGTTTACACACTAGCAAACGTTTTCGACCCCATCCAGGTCTTCATCAGGCTACGGTTATGCGAAATTCAAACGCATGCGGAATGGAACAATAAAACTAAACGAATGCGATTAAAACTGCAGAAAAAACCAAATTTAAGAATAAAATGGAAAATTATCCACGTGCTGAAACGACGGTTAAGCACGCACAACATCATGTTTGCGAAACAGTGAAAACAGACGAAATATACGCAATACAAACTCAGTTACGGGGGTGGGGCTCCTTCATAACAAAACTTCCATGTGCCAGATATCCCCACTGCATCCCTGGAGTTGATGCACGTGCTACGCAATCCTGCTTTATATATTTCGAGAGTCTCCATGGCTCTCAGTTGATCAGTACGATGTGAGAGCCTGATCAGACGGGCATTTTGTATGTCAGCCGTGATTCCCGGGTCCGTGGCAACCGTTGATAGGGCGGTGGTGTGTTTTTTATTGTCAATGTCATATTTATGCTCCTGAAGCCATTTATAAAGGGAGCATTTGGTTGAGCCCACATAAACCAAACGGCTGTTAAATCTGTCATCTCAAAGTGGGACAGCATATACCCCCGGTGCGTGTTTCAAGTCTATTGTGTCTTTTCCATTGCAAAGTAAGTTGTAAACGGATCTTGGCCTACTATAAGCTATCTTAGTTTTAGTGATGGATGAAATTTCCCTGTATATTTTATCAAGATGGTGGTTGTACCATACAACTTTTCTTGCACCTTTATTATCCAAAGACTCCCCGGGGGCATTGGTAGTGTCACGTGCGTTTGCCCTTGTGTAAGCACGAGCGATATTGTATATTAAGTTGTTATTATACCCATGCTGTGTGGCCATTTCCTGAATGTGTCTTAGCTCAGTTATGGTGTCTTCATAATTAGAGTGGTGCATGAACATCCTCTTACTTAAGGCCTGAAAAGCCGTGATCTTGTTGGAGTACAGATCCTCCGAGTTAGCGGGGATGAAGAGCGGTACATAGGACTTTTTGTAATAGACCTTGGATATGATCCCATTATCCTTAATTTGAAGGTCCAAGTCCAGAAAATGCGCGGCGGTGTTGCTTTTCTGGTCCAATTTGATGTTCAGGTCATAAGGGTTGTCGTTCATTAAGTTAATGAACTGGTTGATGTTGAGTTCTGTTTTCCAAATGATAATAATATCATCAACATACCTCCTGTACAGGAGGAAGTCGGAAACGTAGAAGGGGATGATTTGATGTTCCAGCCTCCTGACTACCAGCTCACATAAATCACCCGAGAGAGGGCTCCCCATGAGGATGCCCCACTTTTGGAGATAAACTTTGTTATTAAAACAGAAGAAGGATGAGTAACACAATATGTGTGTTAACTCCAAGATGTGTTTTTGACGTGTGGACGCGCCGGAGTAGGTGAGTAATAAATCCCGGAACTCGCAGAAGCATGGCTGGATTTTGATCGACGGGTATAGAGAAACAAACTCAAGAACAGTGATACAAGCAGAGTTGGTTATGTTAATAGCCCTCAAGGTTTCAATGAGCTCGATTGGGTTCTTGATAGTCCAAGGGTAAGTGTTTATCTTGTCGCGTATGTGTTTGTGTACCGCAGTTTCTAATGCCCAGGTTGGTGATCTAGCCATATTGAGGACCGACCTAAGAGAAAGTTTTGCCCCCCATAAGACCCATAAGGATCCACCTTCTCTTAGGCCGGTCCTCGATAAGGCTAGATCACCAACCAGGGCATTAGAAACTGCAGTACACAAACACATATGCGACAGGATAAACACTTACCCTTGGACTATCAAGAACCCGATCAAGCTCATTGAAACCTTGAGGGCTATTAACATAACCAACTCCAGAACCAGGAATCACAGCTGACAAACAAAATGCCCATCTGATCAGGCTCTCACATCGTACTGATCAACTGAGAGCCATGGAGACTCTTGAAATATATAAAGCAGGATTACGTAGCACGTGCATCAACTCCAGGGATGCAGTGGGGATATCTGGCACGTGGAAGTTTTGTTATGAAGGAGCCCACTCCTGTAACTGAGTTTGCATTGCGTATATTTCGTCTGTTTTCACTGTTTCGCAAACATGATGTTGCGCGTGCTTAACCATCATTTCAGAATGTGGGTAATGTTCCATTTTATTCATAAATTTGGTTTTTACTGAAGTTTGAATCACATTCATTTAGTTTTATTGTTCCATTCTGCACGTGTTCAAATTTCACATAATCGTAGCCTGATGAAGACCTGGATGGGGTCAAAAACGTTCGCTGGTGTGTAATCACATATCACTGGAGTTACAAAGGTTTTTTGGATGTGGTGAATTGTTTCTTATAACCACAGTCACAACTGAACTGATGTAACAACTTGCACAGCAGTGACTGTTGAAACAGCAACCTTGTACAAAAAGCACTGATAAGACAGTGCAACCAACAGAAGTTTTAATACAACCAGAGTGTGGATAATTTTTGACTCACCCATGTAAATTCCTGTAATTTATCAACATATAGTGCCATTAATAATTTTTAAAATTTAACTAATTTCAATAAAAATATAAATTATTTTTATATATAATAAAATTTTTACAAAGATATTAGCAACAAAAATTTTCAAGAGTTTATTACCAATTCTTTAAACAAATATTTTAAAACAAAAATACATGAATATTAAATCAATCATCTGATCTATTATTAAGCAATATATTGGGTAAATATAAATAATTCATAACAACTTGCTGCTGATATAGACAAGTTTTATCTATTAAGTATTAAAGAATTTGGAGATTATTTGACTAATATTAATGTTAATACTAGATTAATATTTGTTAATATACATTCATAAAAACATATATATACTAACTTTGAAATATCCGAAATTGATACTGGATTTGGATATGCAGATTCAATAAGTTCTAAAACTTTCTCTTGAGTTATTTCAAATTTCATCCCTACAGAACTATCATCCATTGAAACTGAAATTTAACAAAAATTACTATGAAATATATTTTAATAAAAAACATTATCATCAAAATGTTCTGAAATCTCTTTTACTTATTTATACTATTATTTTTTCTCTTTTAAGGATTACTTTTATATATTAAAATTTATTGATGAATATTTCTTAACTACTTTTTAAAATATACTTTGTTTTTTAGCCTAATTTATTTCATTAAAAGTTTATCAAAATTACAACTATTATAAAAAAAAATTATTTAGCAAATTGTCTTTTTATAAAACAAAATTTCTTTGATAATACATATTATTGTTTAATATCTTCTGTAAAACAGTCAGCTCCATTTCTAATAAAGCCACAAATGTGCTGAACAGTTCACAATGTTAAAGTCTTATCACATTGTAATCTTCTGGAAGACTAGGATCCAATGATGAGACTGCACTTTGTAATGCTCAAAAAACATTTAATATAAAATAAAATATTTGCTTCCTGAGCTGTTTAGCATTTATGTGGTTTTAATTAGAGATTAAAGAAATTAAATTTAAAAATTAAATTGAAGACAGACATTGAAAACAGAAATTGATTTTTAAACTTAATTGCCTTATGATGAAATTCTACAATTTAATCAATTCTGCAAAGATTCATCACCAGAGGCAGTTGAAAATCTACATTTACCAGCACTTGCTTCTAGTAGATATAAAGTTCTTCCATCCCCAAATGTAAGGATGGAAGGAAAGAAGACATCTATGGCATTATTAGTTCCGATTTTAAAACCCATTTTTAATTGGATATTTTTTCTTTGTTTTTACGGAAAGTTTTAATTTTGATGACAAAGTAGCCTACACAGAAAGGTCAGTCATCAAAAGTTTGTATTCCAGAACGTTAAAACTGAATAAATGGCAATTTCTTTTCAACAGACTATATCTTCAATTTAATTTTCAAACTTAATAGCAGACTTTCGTCAGTTAGCAATTAAGGAAATTAGACTTTCTTTGTATAATATTCATTATTCAGTTAAAAAAAAGTAAATACTTCTTTTTAATCAATACTCTAAATGTAGATAGTAGTCCTTCCTCCCAGCATCGTGCCTTATTACTCATCACAAGAGCATATAGGACAACTAGTAATAGTTCCCTCCAAGTCCTGGCAAAAAAGCCATCTATAGACCTTTCTATCCTACAAAAGCGACGACTTCAACAATTAAAATGGGGAGGGACAGTAGAGATTATTTCGTGCACCATTAATTATAATGACATCGAGTGGCCTTCCTCTTTTAAAGAAACTTGCTCACCAGGAGAAACTTCTGTATGCAAATTTACCAGTTCTGAGAATGCCGATATACATGTATTCACGGACGGCTCTTGTATCAATGATAATGTTGGGAGTAGTTTTGTCGCTTATATAAATAATATTGAGGTCCACCACCAAATGTACAGACTTGACAGCAGGTGCACCGTGTTTCAAGCCGAGCTATATGCTATAGGGATGGCCATTGACTACATTAATCACAACTACAGTAATATTCATGTGCACATACATACTGATTCTTGGTCAGCTCTAAATCTGCTGCAGAGCAACAAGTTACATCCTCTGGCTGAATACATTAAAAATGCAACACAATCTTCTGAATGCACCTTTACCATCACATGGATAAGGGCTCACCAGGGAGACACTGGAAACGAGAGGGCAGACTCCCTGGCTAAGGATGCAGCCTTGAACAGTTCTTTACAGATCACCTATAACAAGATCAGCCAGCGATCGTTATACCACCTTCTCTGGAATGACACAATAGAACTTTGGCAAAACACTTGGAATCATAACTCTGAACATATCACCTACAAGTTTATATCAGATCTTAGACAATTTTTAAAAATAAATTGGCATACTCCAGACTACTGTACATTGCAAATCTTTAGTAACCATGGAAAATACACACGCTATCTTGCTCGTTTCACAAACAGATCTTCTGAGCAGTGCCCAATTTGTGACACAGAAGACGGTGCCTTACATTATCTATTTGATTGTGTCATCTTAGACCGTGATTGTCTCGAACTGCAACTCCTCTTACAAGAACTTGGTGTTATGTGGCCCTGTCACCTTTCAGATATCTGGCGCACTAAAGAGATCTTCTACGCCTTCAGGAAACTGGCAAGGCAAATCAACTTTGTCACGCACAAGATTATTAACAGTTAACTCTTCTTGTACTTGGACATTTCCATTTGCTTGTTTCTCACATGTGTATTGTTCACTCCTACACGCGTTAAGATTGTCTCAATAAAATTAATTTATCTGTATTTTAATGTTACAGTAAACATGTCTGTTTGTCCTCTCTGTATGTTCTACATGCGACAAGAACTGTCGCGTTCCTTAATTCAATTTGTTTTTCTCTTTTGTTGTTAAAAATCCTATGTATAATGTCTTTCAGTTTCAATGTATTTATCTTGTATGCTACTGCTAATTTTGATGTTCTTCCTCCCTGGTAATGCCTACAGCGGGACCAGGGCATGTACAACTCATTTGGTACGAATAAATTGATTGATTGATTGATTGATTGTAGATAGTAGTCCATAAATTTATAACCTTTAGCAACTCTGGACAACAGAATTTAACTACACATTTTACTTTCACATATTTCTCATATTTAATTAAAATTATTAAAATTACTAAAATACAACCACAAAAACTCCTTACATTAATACAGGGTGATCTTTAATTCATACAAAACTCTAAACTTTAATAACTTTTCAACTGAATGAGACAAATAAAATTCAAAAAGTACCATACAGTACAACATTTGCATTTTTGATGATGATGATTCATTAATGTTAACAGTCATTTTCAAAACGGTGGCACTCACTTTAGAACAACATGTGTTTATTGTAAAGAATTATCAAAATTCTAATTTTCCAATTGGTATGCTATCAGTGTACTAATTGGTGTGCTATGAATACTAGCAGATTTATTGAACCATTCTTCTTTGAGAAGAACATTACTTCTGCTGCATATATTGAAGTATTGGAAAAGAAGTTTTATCCCGAAATGCTTGTTGGACATAAACATTGTTGAGCTTGGTTTATGCAAGATGGTGCAAGGCCCCATTGCACAAAGCAAATGTTCAAAAGCCTTTGCTGTATATTTGAGAAGCATGTAATCAGATTAGATTACAAAAAATATGCTGGTGGTGGCATGGAGTGGCTGCTTTATAGCTCCATAAAAAGAAATCACATGAGTTTATCTTAAAGATAGAGTATATCACAATGCTCCTACAATTATTGAAGCATTCATTAGACACAATAAAAAAAGAAATAATGATGATTCCAAGGAAGAATTTTATTACTGTTATTGAATGTTTCAAAAATCAGTTAAAAACTATTATTGCAATCAAAGGTAGTCATGGATGATGTCAGAGCTTTTTTAACTGGCTGAAAAAAGTTTGACACTCACATGATTGTAGAGAAAAAAATTTATTCTTTTACTAACTGCAGTGAACGTTTGATGATTCCTATTCTGAAAGATAAAATAATTTTCATTACCAAATACAACTTCTTGATTGTAACCTTTATACAAGGGAATCATTGAAAACTTTAAAATACAAAAACTTATTATATAAACAATATTGCATGCTCTTGAAGATGCATCATGTGGGTTTGGAATGAACCTACTAGATGCAATGCAAATGATTCAATGCAATTGGAATAAAGGTCCACAAAAAACATTGCAAATTGCTTTTACAAATGCAGGTCTCAGTAAACAATTTATTGACACTTCAAATAAAATAAAATTTCCATCAGAATCCATTGACTATATTGAAGAAAACTGGATTAACCTCATTACAGCAGTGAGTGATGAAAAACTGTCATTTGAATATTTTATCAACATTGATAATTACCTACCTATTGTCAGACACTTATCTGAAGACAATGTCATTGCTGAAGTAAAAATCCATATAATAATATTAAAATTTAAGTTTGTTTTGTCATTAAATAATCATTGTGAAATTATATTAAACAAAGTTTATAAATTTTTAATCATATTATTAAATTAAATTGTAAAAATAAAAATTATAATAGAATATAATAATACT